TACCAGAGAATAAGATAAAAAAGTCATAAGATATAGATCCAGAATTTCTAAATTGATTATATAATTCCAATAAAGAGAGATTGGAGTAAGTTGAGACAAATAAGGATGAAGAAAAGCAAGTATTCTAAACAATAGTAGAATAAAACTTCTCTAAATGGAAGAAAGACATGATTAATGAAAAAGCCACATAGTACCAAGAAGATGAATGATAATGTGCCACAAATATTCCCATATTTTAGAACATGAAGGTCAAGAGAAAACATAATATCTTTCAGAGAGAAAAAATAATTATACAAATAATAAAACTATTTTTTGACTTTATGCTTCTCATTGTCAACCTGGCAAAAACATAGTGGGGAAAAACATTTCATTTTTTTAAAGAAATAAAACTGAAAAAATGTTTATCTATATTTAGCCAATGAATTATTCAAAAATTAAATTAAAATAATGATATTTACAGACATGCAAAAGTCTCAATTTAACAATTCATAGGTTCTCCCTGAAATAAATGCTGGAGCAAAGGAAAGATTAATCTTGAAGAAGAAACTAGAATTGAAGAAGGAATGGTGGGAAATAAACCAGAAACCAATATATCTGTGTCAAATCTAAATAAATATTGAGTTTAAAGTAATAATAATAAACTAGAATTGAAATATTAAATAATATCAATTATCAGACATAGCAGAGAGAGGGAAAGAAATGAAAGGAAGTAAAGTGTGTAATGGTTCTTAACATTGTTAGAGGGAGGAAATGGATATTAACTTAAATCTAGATATTGAAGAAATGTTAGGTTTGTGTATTAAAGGTTAAGGGCAACCACTCCAAGAATATAAACATAAATATAATTTCTAAGCCATAGGATAAAAGGGAAAGTAACAATGAAACATAAAACCAACTGAGAATTTTAAAAAGGATAAATGAAACAAGTTGAAAACATCAGAACAAGTAAACACAAACAAGTTGACAAGAACATATCTCCACATATTAATAATCAGAATAACTTAATATTAAATTTAATTTGATATTTATTTTCTATTAAAATATGTAGACAGATTGAAGAAATTTAAATTAATCTATCATTTTATAGCATAAAAAAACTCATGGGGCAATATTAATATTAGGCAAAACTATTCAAGGTAAATCATTTAAAGGGGTTAAAAGACACTTCAAATTTATTGAATATTTTTTAAACCTACAGAAAAGCCAAGTCATAAATCTTCACCCACATGACATTATAGATTTGAAATAGATATAACAAATGCTAAGCGAACTACAATATGAGAAGTTGAGAAAGCAGTAATCATGGTGGCAGATTTTAATACACCATGCTAAGAAACCAACAATTAAGTATTGAAAACATATAGAGAAATTGAAAAACATAATTATAGTCTTATACTTACAGAGACAAAGAATTTTGTGCTCCCAAAATAGAGTCTACATATTCATTTTAAACAAACATGGAACAGTTACCAAAACTGACCATGTGTTAGGCCATAATTATCTCTCATACTCACTGATCACAATTAAATAAAATTATCAAATAACACCAGAAAGGTAGCCAAGAGAAATCAACATATTTGAAAATTAAGAATCAAATAAACAACAATTCAATACACATGTATGTATTTACAGACATGCAATTCTAAATAACTCTAGTTTAAGAAGAAATGAATATTAAAGTTATAAAGTAGTTGAAATGTAAAAATAATGGGACTACAATATTCTGAAAGAGAAGGGATATGGCCAAAGTAGAAGTCGAGATTCCTTACTTAGCTTTAAATGCTTTTGTTAGAAAACAAGAACATATTGAAAATAAATCAACTAAACTTTCAACTAGGCCAAGTTGGAAAATAGTTTTTAAAAAAGCAATCTAAGAGAAGATGACAAAATAGGAAGCACCAGGGATCTGTCTCTCCACCTAGACAACAATTAAACTGGCAGAATATGATATAACTATTTTGGAATTCTGGAGTGAAGTCTTAAAACTTCCAGGGAAAGGCTTTGATGGTAAATTGTGGTGAATTTCAGTCAATAACACCTCTTAGCACAGTAGCAGCTACCCATGCCCTACCCTCAACCCTATGTCTGACAGCTATGTACATGTTCCTGTTTGTGGGAGTCAGGGTGGACAAAAAGAACCCAGTCCTCCAAATATCAGGGGTCTGTGCTCTGATCAAAGATCACTGCTTTAGTTGCAGAGGTGCAGATAAGAAGAAGGGTGGCCATTGTTCTTGCACTTCCCCCGACTATTGCAAGCTCCTCCTCCTCTGGCAGAAGTGATTTCCAGGGGGTTTAAAGGGCTAACACTCTTCCCACCTCCCTTCATTTTTCTCTTTTCTCCCTTTTGGGAGCCATACATTAAAGACTAGGACATTCAAAAGCAACTGTATAAATGGGAAAAATTAGAAAGTGACTGTGCATGCCCAGGGAAAGGTACAAGCTCAGAAAAGACCTAGGAAGAATTTATGTTTATACCTGAGGCTAAGCTTTGGCACAGAGACAGCCTGTAACAATGAAAAACAAAACAATAAAACAGCAATCTCTGGGGAAAACGGAGAATCTGATTTCCAGATTTACCACATTATTAGATATAAATGCCCATTTTTTTAAACATAAAATCATGAGGCATACAAAGAAACAGGAAAGAATGGCCCATAGAAAGGAAAACAATAAATCAACAAAATCTGTCCCTGAAAAAGACCTAATGTCAGATCTACTAGACAAAGACTCTAAAATGATCATCTTAAAGATGCTCAAAGAACTAAGGAAGATGTGGAGAAAGTCAAGAAAATTATGTATGAATAAAATCAAAAGGTCAATAAAGAGATAGAAAACCTAAAATGAAACCAGAAAGAAATTCCAGAGCTAAAATGTATAATAACTGAAATGAAATTTTAAATAGAGGGATTCAAAAGAAGATTTGAGCAGATAGAAGAAAGAGTCAGCAAACTTGAAGATAACACAATGGAAATTATTGAGTCTGAGGAACAAAAAGAAGAAAGATTGAAGAAAAGTGAACAGAGCCTAAGGGATCCATGGGGCAACACCTAGTGGACTAACATACACAGTATGGGGGTTCTTTAAGGAGAAGAGAGGGAGAAAAGGGGCAGAGAGAATATCAAAGAAATAATGGCTGAAAATATCACAAATTTGATGAAACACATGAATATAAACATCCAAGAAGCTTAATGAGCTCCAAGTAACAAAATTCTAAGAGACCCACACAGAGACACATTATACTCAAACTTTCAAAAGATAAAGACAGAGAATCTTGGGCATCCCTGGTGGCGCAGTGGTTGAGAGTCCGCCTGCCGATGCAGGGGACACGGGTTCGTGTCCCGGTCCGGGAAGAGCCCACATGCCGCGGAGTGGCTGGGCCCCGTAAGCCATGGCCGCTGAGCCTGCGCGTCCAGAGCCTGTGCTCCGCAACGGGAGAGGCCACAACAGTGAGAGGCCCGCGTAACGCAAAAAAAAAAAAAAAGACAGAGAATCTTGAAAGCAGCAAGAGAGAGAAGCAACTTGTCATATACAACAGCGGTCCCTAACTTTTTGACACCAGGGACCAGTATCGTGGAAGACCAGAGGGGAATGGTTCAGATGGTAATGTGAGTGATGGGGGTGGATGGCTCAGGTGGTAATGTGAGTGATGGGGGTGGATGGTTCAGGTGATAATGCAAGCGATGGTTCAGGCAGTAATGCCAGCAATGGTTCAGGTGGTAACGTGAGTGATGGGGAGTGGCAGATGAGGCTTTGTTTGCGTGCCCGCCATTCACCTCCTGCTGTGCAGCCCAGTTCCTAACAGGCCATGGACCGATACCAGCCCACGGCCCGGGGGTTGGGGACTTCTGATATACAACTTATCCTCCATAAGTTTAGCAGCAGCTTTGCCGTTAGAAACTTTGGAGGCCAGAAGGCTGTGCACCAATATATACAAAGTGCTAAAAGAAAAAAAACCTGTCAACCAAGAAGCCTATATCTGTCAAAAATGTCCGAGTGAGAGAGAAAATAATACTTTCCCAGATAAACAAAAGCTGAAGAAGTTCATTAGCACTAGACCTGTCCTACTAGAAATACTCAAGTCTTGCAGGGTAAAATGAAAGGATACCAGACAGTAACTTGAGCCATATGAAGAAATAAAGATTTCAATAAAGGTAAATACTTGGGCATTATAAATACCAGTATTATTGTAACAATGGTTCATAACAGCCCTTTTTGTTTTCTACATGATTTAAGGATTGATATATTTTTAAATTATTAATCAATTATTATTTTTGTAACTTTGATTTGTAAATCCACCTTTTGTTTTCTACATAATTTAAAAAACTAATGCCTTTAAAAGAATTACTAGTTTATGCATAAAGATGTAATTTTGTGACATCAAGAACTAAAATGTGGGAGGACAGAGCTGTAAAGCACCAGAGTTTTTGTATGTTATTTAAGTTAAGCTGGCATAAATTTATATGAATGATATAACTTTAGGATGTTAAATGTAATTCCTATTATAACTACAAAAAATAGCTGTAGAAAATAAACAAAAGTAAATGATAAAGGAACTTAAAGATTTCACTACAAAATAATTAAACACAAAATAAGACAGCAGTGCAGGAAATGAGGGACTAAAAAGTTATAAGGCATATAAAAAACAAATAATAAAATGATAGAAGTAAGTCCCATGTTATCAGTAATTATTTTAAATGTAAATGGATTGAACTCTCCAGTCAAAAGACAGAGATTGGCAAAATGGATAATGACATATTATCCAACTATATGCTGTCTAGAAGAGACTCACTTTAGATCCAAAGACACAAATAGATGGAAGTGAAAGAATGGAAAAGATATTCTGTGCAAATAGTAATCAAAAGAGAGCAGGTGTATCTATATTAATATCAAACAAAATAGACTTTAAATCAAAAAGTTTACAAAAGACAAAGAATGACATTATATATTAATAAAAGTTTCAATACAGGAAGAAGATATAACAATTATAAACATGTACACACCTTTTCACAGATCAGCAAAGTATATGAAGCAAAAACTGGTATAAATGAAGGAAGAAATAGTTGTAAAATAATGGTTGGAGACTTCAATACACCACTCTCTGTAACAGATAGAACAACCAGACAGAAAAAAAATTAACAAAATAGAGGCTTAACACAATAGGCCCACAAAATGTAACAGACATATAAAGAACACTCTACCCAACAACAACAGCATACACATTCTTCTCAAGTACACATGGGACATTTTCCAGGATAGACCATATGTTAGGCCACAAGTTTAATCTCAATAGATTTTAAAAGATAAATATCAAACAAAGTATATTTTCTGACTATAGAAAATTTCTGATGCAGTTAAAAATTAACAGCAGACGTAAAACTGGAAAATTAACACATTTGTGAAAATTAAAAACCATACTCTTAAATAACCAATATACCAAAGAAGAAATCACAAAGGAAATTAGGAAATACTTAGAGATTAATGAAAATGAAACACAACATACCAAAACTTATGTGGTGTAGTGAAAGCAGTGCTAAGGTGGAAATTTATAGTTATAAGTGCTTACATTAAAAAATAAGAAAGATCTCATATCAACAACCTAAATTTACAGCTTAAGGAACTGCAAATATAAGAATAAACTAAACCCAAAACTCAGAGAATGCAGGAAATAATAAAGATTAGAGCAGAGATAAACAAAATAGAGGATAGTAAAAAGTAGAGACAATCAGTGAAACGAAGAGTTGGTTCTTTTAAAAGATCAAGAAAATTGACAAATCTTTAGCTTAGATGGACTAGGAAAAAAAGAGAAAATACTCAAATAACTAAAATTAGAAATGAAACTAAGGCCATTACTATCAATTCAACAGTTGATACCATCTCATGCACATTACGATGGCTACTATAAAAAAAACAGAAAATATATGTGGAGAAATTGGAACTCTTATGCACTACTGTGGGAATGCAAAATGGTGTAGACTCTGTGTAAGTTATGGGCAGTATTCAGTTCTGTGTGGTTGTAGGACTGACGTTCCTGCTTCCTTCTTGCTGTCAGCTGGAATCCTCACTCAGCTCCTTATCACCACTTGTATTCCTTATCACATTACCCCTTCCATTCTTAAAGCAAGCAATAGTGCATTGAGTCCTTCTCACACTTTAGATACCTCTGATGTTTCTGTCTGCCATATTTTACTCTAGCCGGAAAAAAGTTTTCTGCTTTTAAGTGCTAATGCTGGTTAGACTGAGTCCACAAGAATAATCCAGACTAATCTCCCTATTTTAATGCATCTTACCATAACTGCATCTGTAAAATCTCTTGTGCCATATATGGTAACATATTTATAGGTTCCACAGCTTAGGGAGGCATTCTGCCTACCGCACTACCTCATAAGATTGTTGTAGGAGTTAAATGAGATAACATAGATTAAATGCTTAATACAAGCTATTCAATGAAGGGAAGCTATTGCTGTACACTGCTTTTTTTTTTTTTGTATTTTGCAGTTTTTGGAGTCTGTGCTTTGTACTATAGTACTGCTTCTCTTATATGCATTTATTCCTATCAGACTGCTTTATCTGAGTAATAAAATCCTCCTTCTGTTGCAGTCATCACACTTACATCAGATTCCCCTTTCATATTCAGATGGCAAAATCTGTGATCAGCTGGCATCTGAGGTTTCTACTTCTCAAAAGCATTATACCCCAAAATTTCCACTGTTGTGTTATGATAGGAAGAAATTGGAAACAACCACAAAATATCTAAAACTATAGGTATGGCTAAATAACTGACATACAATATGGCATTTGCAGCCCATCAAATTAGACTCATGAAGACTTTAATGACATGAGAAATAATTTAATACAATGTTATCTGAAAAATCACAAAACTATGTAAGTATATAACTATATATATTATATATAATATATATTATAAAAAATATATATATTAGAAGGTCAACAGTTGTGTGTGTGTGTAATAATATATGCATAAAGAAAAACCTGGAAATAAATGTTTAAAAAGCAGTTAATGCGATGATTATCTTTGCAGTAGAATTATTGGTAATTTTTCTTCATATATATTTTTTTGCCTTCTGCAACTTACTACAAGGCACATATTTTATCCTAAAAACCAACTGATGCATACAATGTAAATGCATTATGCAAAATGAAAAAAAGCCAAATATGAAACACTCTATGTTGCAGGATTCCATTCATATGACATTCTGGAAAAGTTGAACTTATTAGGGACACAGACCTATCAGTGACTGCCAGGGACTGGGTGTGAAGAGAGACGATTGACAACAAAGAGATATGGAGAAAGTTTTTGATGTGATGGGAATGTTCTAAAAGTGGATTTTTCCTTTTTATGGTTAATGTTCCATTGTATATATGTACTACATCTTCTTTATCCATTCCTCTGTTAATGGACATTTAGGTTGATTTCATGTCCTGGCTATTGTAAATAGCACTGCAATGAACACTGAGGAGCATGTGTCTTTTTGAATTATGGTTTTCTCTGGGTATATGCCCAGTAGTTCTATTTTTAGTTTTTTCAGGAACCTCCATACTGTTCTCCATAGTGAATATTACTCAGCCATAAAAAAGGAATGAAATTGGGTCATTTGTAGAGATGTGGATGGACATATAGTCTATCATACAGAGTGAAGTAAGTCAGAAAGAGGAAAACAAATATCATATATTAATGCATATATGTGGAATCCAGAAAAATGGTATAGATAAACTTACTGGCAAAGCAGAAATAGAGACACAGATGTAGAGAACAAACATATGGACACCAAGGGGGGGAAGGAGGAGTGGAGTGAATTGGGAGATGGGGATTGACATATATACACTACTGATATTATGTATAAAATAGATAACTAATGAGAACCTACTGTATAGCACAGGGAACTCTACTCAGTGCTCTGCGGTGACCTAAATGGGAAGGAAATCCAAAAAAGAGGGGATATATGTATGTGTATAGCTGATTCACTTAGCTGTGCAGTAGAAACTAGCACAACGTTGTAAAGCAACTATACCCCAATGAAAACTTAATAAATAAAAGTGGATTGCATAATCCTTAAAATTCATAGAACTGTACACCTTGAAAAGGTGAATTTTACTTGATGTACATTATAACTCAATAAATTCAACCTTAAAACTATTGTTTTGCTTTGTTTTAACAGCCCAAATGTAGCAGCATGCTTAAATGCCAAAAGAATATAACATCCCTACTTATAGTTTATAAATGCTATTGTTTATTTGGCTCCTCAAGCCTGCAAAACTATTTTAGAACTTTTTCATTAATAAACTTGGTTAAAGCCAAGCAACAGATCAGCCATACGGCCAACAGAAGCAACAGTGGCTTAGAAGAAAAATGTTAACTGAAAAATGTTACACCTGAAACTAAAACAATATTGTAAATCAACTATACTCCAATATAAAATAAAAATTAAACTAAAGAAAATGATGTTACCCCTAGGCAGTGGCTTTAAAAGACTTGCTTTAACCTTATCTTCTGTTTGGTGTTGAATTTTGCTTATGGCTATTCTTTGTCTCCTTACTACATCATCACCTCCATTCTCTCACCTCTTTTTTTAAAAAATATTTTAAACATCCTTCATTAAGTCACCCATTCTATGTGGCTGTTTGCCACATTGCACTTTATGGGCTCTAGTTAGCAATAATGTATTGTATATTTACAAATTTGTTAAGAGAGTAGATTTCATGCTTAACGTTCTTACCACACACACAAAAAGCAGACACAAGGAAACTTTTGGAAGTGATGGACATATCTATTACCTTGTTTGTGGTTATGGTATCACAGGTATTTTGCATATGTCCAAATTCATCAAATTGCATACATTAAACATGTGCAATTAATCATACCTCAATAAAGTTGTGAAAAAGAAAGCTATTATATTAATATAACAGATTCAAAGAATACACATTTAGATTCCCTGGAGTAAGATTTATCTGTCAACATTTTATCCCCTTGCATAAAGCAACAAACTACAAAGAGAGCAATTCAGAATGTGTGTTATTAGAGTTTTCATCACGTTGAGTTAGGAATCAACACTCAGTCTGCTAATAGGAAGTCAAAGGTTTTCTACACTGACATCCCTATTGCTTGTCACCACTATAATTCCAATGACTGCATCCAATCCCTCCTCTTTGCTGTATTAGGTGCATGGTAACCTGCAAGGTATTCAATTTCTCACCATCTGGAGCTAGCAGTCTTTACTGTTCACTGGTAGACTAGCAAGAATTGAAAGGATAATATCCTAATTAAGAAAAGTAGAAAATGGATGTGTCCTCTATTTATTATACAACAATCCAGAGCACTGCATAAGGGGTAAACTGTTCATATGTTTCTCATAAGATTTGTTAATTAAGAAGATGGTAGGGGAAGAGATAAATGACCCTCATATTACAATGCAAATTAAAACTCCAACCTACTGCTAGCATTCATTAGCTAGCTTCTTAATTTACCATTGCTTTCCCCCAAAATGGAAACATTACATATATTCCTAATGTCTTAAATTTCTTTTGATGATGAATTTCATATTTAGCCCGAAAATCTATATACAGAACTTATTTTTTATCACAAAACTGGATTTTAATGTTTGGCTGATAATACAAAGTTTTAAAAGAGTGCTTAACAAAGCCAGAGTCTTTTTTCAAGTCAGGATGAATGCACCCATTTGTATTCCCCTGTGCACAATTCACTGGACTTCTTTTGGAAAAGGTCAAGGATAAATATTCTTCAAATGCTTCCATTAAACAGTCAATAACCATAGTAACAGTGTATGGTTTGATTTTTACCTATATTTCTGAACTTTTCTCTTAAAAATAAAATGGTATTCAAGTGAGGTTGCAAGTGGGAAACACATATGCTTTTTATACACTGTTCATATAGATATATTAAAACAAAGATATAATATACCTCCTAATGCATTACATTTAGTGGTGCCTATTGTCAAAACATATTCTAACTTAAATCAACTATCTCCTCACTTGAGAATGCAGGGACACAGCCTTTTTCTAAACTCACAGAATATTAGCTATTTCCCTTTTATAAATACATGCCAAAAAAAAAAAAGACAGACAAGATAGATTAAAATGTGCCTTAGCTCTAAACACATGATGTTGAATTGGGAAAAGAACTTATAGATCATTGAATCCTACATAGTTATTTTTATAGAATAGGAAAATGGCCAGTACCTATGACTGAGGCAAATGGTTACCTTATTTCAAAAAAGAAAGAGACATAAAGAGAGTAATGAGCTGCAGCTCAATATCAAAAAAACAAACAACCCAATAAAATAAATGGGCAGATGATCTAAATAGACATTTCTCCAAAGAAGACATACAGATGGCCAAGAGGCACATGAAAAAATGCTCAATATCACTAATTATTAGAGAAATGCAAATCAAAACTACAATGAGGTATCACCTCATACCAGTCAGAATGGCCATCATCAAAAAATCTACAAACAATAAATGACGGAAAGGGTGTGGAGAAAAGGGAACCCTCCTGCACTGTTGGTGGGAATGTAAATTGGTACAGCCACTATGGAGAACAGTATGGAGGTTCCTTAAAAAACTAAAAAAACTAGAGCTACCATATGATCCTGCAATCCCACTCCTGGGCATATATCCAGAGAAAACCATGATTTGAAAAGATACATGCACCCCATTGTTCATTGCAGCACTATTTACAATAGCCAGGACATGGAAGCAACCTAAGTGTCCATTGACAGAGGAATGGATAAAGAATATATGGTACATTTATACAATGGAATATTAATCAGCCATGAAAAAGAAAACATAATGTCATTTGCAGCAACATGGATGGACCTAGAGATTGTCATACTGAATGAAGTAAGTCAGACAGAGGAAGACAAATATCATATGATATCATTTGTATGTGGAATCTAAAAGAAGGGTACAAATGAACTTATGTACAAAACAGAAGTAGAATCACAGAAGTAGAAAACAGACTTATGGTTACTGGGGGTGAAATGGGGGGGGAGGGATAAATTGGGAGATTGGGATTGACACATCCACACTACTATATATAAAATAGATAACTAATAAGGACCTATTGTATAGCAAAAGGAACTCTTCTCAATACCCTGTAATGACATGTATGGGAAAAGAATCTAATAAAGAGTGGATATATGTGCATGTATAACTGATTTACTTTGCTGTACACCTGGAACTAACACAACATTTAAAATCAACTATACTCCAATAAAAATTTTTAAAAAATAAAGATAAAAAAATAAAGAGAGTAATGAACAAGTCATGCACACTTGTTGATTATTTCACATTTTAGATCATGTTAATGATACAAAATAGGAAACAGAAAAAGCCCAATAAAATGAAGGGGCCCTACACTATTAGAACATCAAAGACGCTGGGGTGGGCCCTTGTAAAAAAAGATGTCACTTAGAAGTCCTTGTACAAAGCAGCTGGTTCCATTAATCAATATTTTTAATGGTTACTGAAGCTCCTTCTAAACTATCAGTTGAGACGATTAGCACATGTGGGGAATATTTTCATTGAGGTCAAGTGTTTTTTCTTCCTCCTCTTCAGTCCCAATATGAAGCTAAAACATTGCTAGAGGTGAAGTCTGAGAATTCAAAATACAAGAGTTTAATTTGTAGAGCTAGCAAACAAGACTTCCAAAATACCTGAAAAATCTTTTGGTTCTGAGAAAGCATTTTGTCAGATCAGATGAGGTGTAGAACATATGAAAAGGACTACAAGAACCTGCAGTACCAGTAAAGGCAGGCTGACAGTTCTCAGATTCAAAACCTTTGTCATTTTAAGAAAAAAAAGTCTTAGACTAAACTGAATCCACCTGGCAGGGAATATTCTATAGAGCCACTTTCTTAAAAATTAAACAATCTACCCATGACTTTTTTTTAAAAACTACGCTACATGTCAGCATGGATAAAAGCTCCAATTTTTCAGTACCCAAAGCCCATGCTTGGTCATGGGTGAAATCAATTTAAGAGTTTTCAATAACTGGGAGTTGCCTCTCATAAAGTCTTCATAGAGCATGCAGAAAGCCTGTTTTTCCGGGTTCCAAAATGGTGACCTGGTTCAACTGATAGCTATTACTAAAGCCATGATACTCAAAATAAAATGTTTTTAATTGATTTTCAAAGCAATTAAACAGTGACTTCTGGAGCCACTCCTTGTGAGCAGGATCCAGAATGTTCTTCTCACTTTCACCAATGTAACAGTAATTAAGAAGAACAAAGGCACAATACACAGTGAGTTCTAAGAAAACATACAAAGTGGGCAGAAGTTTCAGTCTTCAAGTGTGAGCTAGTCAACCTATGGTATTTAATTTCTCAACATCATTTTCTGAAATTCCATTCTACCTCACAGAGTTTTGGCACAAAGCCAAAGCCTATATTGAGACTACGTTACAAACTTGCCAGTTATCTTTACTTAATGCTTTCCATATGCAAAGATTCTGTGTTGAGACTACATTCTCAATTAAACAGTTTTCTGGAAGAAGGAAGTATTGCCACAAGTATATTCTAAACAATTATTTTAAAATATGTCATTATAAGTCAAAAAGAGTTTGTGTATTGAAAGTAGCTTATCACCAAAAACTCTTCCTCCTGAAAATGTTGCACAACAGGCATATGATGGGGGGGTTGGGGTATAAACATTGTGGGGTGGTGAAAAGAACGCTGGGCTCAGATCTCAGAGTTCTGAGGAAGGCTGAGTTCTGTGGATACTTGCTCTGTAACCCTGGACAAGTCACTTCCCCTTTCTGAACTGCAGATTATTGATTTGAGAAATGTTGGAGTTAAGCTATCTTTGAAGGTAGTGATTGTCAAATTTTAATTTACATGAGATCACCCAAGAAGCTTGTTAAACATACAGGTCCTTCAGCCCCATACCTAGAGATTGCTTTAGTTGAGCTGGACAGTGACCCCAGAATCTGGATCGTAAGAAGAGGCCATCTGAAGCAGATGTGCTCAGACTGCATTTTGAAAAACAATGTACTAAAATGTTTTCTTGATTAAAAGTTCCATAACTCTATGAGGGACAGGTAAGAAGTAATGACCCTTGAAGAAGGTAGAAAAGAAAGTTATTTTAATTTATTGTACTCTGTCATAAGTAGCTGGGGAGAAGCAAGCTTGTACAATATGCACTTATCTGCAAGACCAAATGCTAATGACAATAGACAATGTATTTACACAACAATCTCCTGATGAATTAAACTGCCACTGCCTTTTTGTCATTGCAGAAAGCTAAAATAAATGGATCTATAGACAGTCAATTCATTGGCCTATGTCATAGCCTAAGATGAAATATCATGTCCTTTGTATGTGAGTATGATACTACACTGCACTCACACCGTCCATGTTTTTGAGGGATTTAAGTTACTTAGTAGGAGGTTTGATGACTCCTTCTCTTCATGGGCTCCTTGGTGACCAGTGGGAAAATTTGGAGAAGCTCCTGGGCAACGTTAGTGGTACTTCCCATGACCACAGAACAAAATGGAAATATCTAACCAGGGAGCTTGTTCTCAATAGCTCTACACATGGTGGTGTTAATATTGACTCGGCATACGCAGATGACAGTCACTCTGGAAAGTATCCTTGTTGATCTATGAAAGAGACCAAGGGAATGCTTTAATGTCTACACTCACTAAGGGAAGGAGGACTCACATCGTTTTACAGCATGACCTTTATCTGAGTTAAAACAAATCTGATCTTCTTACTTTAATGCCTTTGTTGTCTTCCTCTCCACTTTACCATTTGTGTAAACCCATCTTCTCATAGAAGGTCCAGCTGCTGGAGATTCTACTTCAACACCCAAGTATGACCAACCTCTCCTTTATATAAACTTCCTTCATATAAACAACACTGAGGTTGCACTTCCAGGAGGTACTTTATCTGTAGAAGACTTTGATGCTGCAACTCTGGCTATTTGTTTGTTGTTTTAAGTTTTTTTAATATTAATGATACTATAGTTATAACTTTGTGTAAGTAAGTGTTATTTATGTTTCATTTCCTTCCCTAGATTCTGAGCTCACTAATGGCAGGATTTATTCTGTTTTCTTTGTCATATCTTCAATATCTTGCTTAGAATCTAGATTATAATAGGTACTTAGTAAATGTGTTTTTAAGAAATAAATTATGAATGACTGATGGATTAAGTGAATCCAAGTATCAAAGGTAGAAATCGTCCCAGAATTTTACTTTGGTTAAAAGTTACCATTGTAGGGACTTCCCTGGTGGCCGAGTGGTTAAGAATCTGTCTTGCAATGCAGGGGATGCCGGCTCGATCCCTGGTCGGGGAATTAAGATCCCACATGCTACGGGGCAACTAAGGCCACGCGCTTCAACTAGAGAGCCCGTGTGCCGCAAATACAGAGCCCACGCACTCTGGAGCCTACGGGCCGCAACTAGAGAGAAGCCCGCACGCTGCAACAAAAGATCCCATGTGGGGCTTCCCTGGTAGTGCAGTGGTTGGGAGTCCGCCTGCCGATGCAGGGGACACAGGTTCGTGCCCCGGTCCGGGAAGATCCCACATGCCGCGGAGCGGCTGGGCCCGTGAGCCATGGCCGCTGAGCCTATGCGTCCGGAGCCTGTGCTCCGCAACGGGAGAGGCCACAACAGTGAGAGGCCTGCGTACCACAAAAAAAAAAAAGGATCCCATGTGCTGCAACTAAGACCTGACACAGCCAAAAAATAAATTAATAAATTAAAAAAAAAACTTACCATTGTGAGCATAAGATTTTTCCACTTAGTCACATGGGATGAAAATCCAGTTCAGACATGAGGCTTCCATGAAGTAAGCATGCCCCTGGTGAAAAAAGACCAGGGAATGACTTCCCCTCAGGACTGAGTGCTGAAGAGGACTTATGATATCAAATGCAAATATGAGAATATTCTCCAAAGTTAACTGAGCAAGTTGCAGGCAAAACAATTTAACTTTCATTTGACTGCTCTTCAAACTCACTCCGGAGTGACAGGTCTGTTGCATGTTGTGAAGCCTGCAGTGAAAATGCCTACAATTGTCCTGCTTCTGGAGGGGGTAAAAGTTAATTCACCTGAGACCCATTTAACTGCCACACAGGTAAACGTTTGACAGCACGGTGCTGGCAAAGCACTTCAAGTACACTACTTAATTTCCCCCAAACTTGGAAGAGAACTATTTTGATGCCCAGGGACACTTTTGTGGTTGGTAAATAAGAAAATGTTCAAGTATTGTTGTTGCATACATATTAAACATTAATCTCACCAGGAATGGTACACGGTGGATGTGTTTAGTTTTCTTTGCCAAATAATAAATCAAAAGTATTATGAAGGAACTATAACAAAAAGAAAAATATCCCACCAGTAAGGCATAATTTTTTCGTTTATAAGTTTTGTTTAATGAAAAAAAAATTGGATATCTCAATTTCTCTCCTCTACACACACACACACACACACACACACACACACACACACACACTCAAAAAAGGGAAGATTTTTGAAACATATAAGACCAAAAATAAAGTTGGAGAGATTGGCTTACAATTTACAATCCAGATTGTCAGTTCTGAAAGAGATTAAAAAATGAAATGTCAATCATCTAACATTTGGAATAAATTTATGGACATAAAACCTGGAAGTTATTCAAAAGTATGCCCTTTAGGCATTATAGATTTGAAAAATGTTTTTCATGTCTGGACTGGAGCTTTTCATAATCTTGTTATTTTACAAAAACAGTTAAATCAGAGATGAAATAGATGAACTATAACTTACTGATGTTCTAATTTAGATGTGAACACATACCATATATATGTATGCATGGATATATATATACATATATATATTCACACACATACTTTTTATACAAACATCACCAAATTATAGAATTTTTTGTTAATGCTGTTAGTCTAAATGGGAAGATCTATCATTTTCTCCTTTTACCACTAAATATGGTAGGTAAAAACGTTATAACTCAGAAGGTGGGCCTAGCACACTGCTAAAGCCTAAGCAAATTATTCCCTGAAGTTAGTCATTAGTAGAAAGTAGCTTCAGACCTCTGCTAAAATAAATTCAATTTTATGATGAGTTTTATATTTAATATTAAGGACTTGTTTGATTAACAAGACTGGGACATCTATTAGGAAAAATAACCAGGAGCCTCAGGGAAAATTATAAGCCTGAAGATCTGGACCAGTGATAATTAGGAAATTCAAATGAGCCTCCAGCCCTAGGTTAGATTGGGTTGCTCCAAAACTTTAATCACTGCCTTTCTATTCATCTCTGTACTGGTAGTTTTCAATGAATGGAAAATAAATTTTGGTGCATGTATTTGCAAATTATTGAGGGCACTATCCTACTTAGACACAATAAGATATGCATTTGTGTGTTATATAAGGATTAACATTTGGATTTACTGTAAGGCAATAGGTTACTGTACTCCTACTGCTTCATCCTAAATAATATAAAGAATATACAGTCACTGTTTACTGTGCACCTAAAAAGTATCTGAGGTAGGAGCTGAGAGGTGGCTGGTGGGATTAATGAGTAAGTCAGCAGTTTTATGTACATACATATTATATATACAGACAATAAGATAACATAATAATACATATAGTAATATCATACTTAATATAATAATATCACATATATCATACTTAATATAATAATTATTGAGTATCTGCTATGTGTCAAGCACTGTAATAGACATAGCAGATTCAGTAGTAAGGAAAACTGACACACTGACAGATACTTTGCCCTCATAGAGTTTGCCATATAACAAGGAGAATGGATGTTAAATTCAATATTAGAGAGGAGTTAGCCAAAGGAGAAGGAAAGCTTTCAGGAAGGAAGTATTATTTGAGGTGTTTATGAATTATACATATCTTTTAACTCTCGTAAACATCAATGTGCTGTTTTTGATACAAAATCCTGCTCTTGACTCATAAGTACAAATAGGGTACACATAGGAATTGCTTTCCTACAGTTAAGATAGATCCAACATTGAACTACCACCCACCCTCAGCTAATCACTTACATAGACACATATTTACCGAGTGACTGGACTGAATTAGGGTACAGCACAGTGTGAAGCCAATTAGTTTAACTAGAAATTAAGCCAGCAACTTGTGCCCCTTTGGTTCACTTTGAGTTAATTACCAGATAGCTGAGTATGTGGTCAAACTGGCATACCAGGTATTAGTGAATTTCCATGCATTATCACTTTTCCAGTCTCTAAACAAACCTGAAAAGTAAGCAAAGCAGGTGCTATTAGTCCCATTTTACAGATAAGGACAAAGAGACTCAGAGTAAATAGTCCCTCTGAAGTCACAACACATAACAAGGTCATATTCAAAGCTCAAAGCACAAGTCTCCTGTCTCTGAACACTGCCCCCTCAACTGACTCAGATTACCACATTACTATGCATATACTTTGCAACATTACATAAAAGAAAATTGCTCATTTCTGTGCACTTTAAGCCTTTTAGGTGTGTTCTATCAAAGTCATTATAAGATTGATTCAATTCAAAAATAAAATTGCATTAAAATTCATAAATGAGATATTTACTTGGTGGTAGTCATGACTCAGCAAGTAGTCATGCAATACACACTTGTCAGAGATATTATTCACTAGGTAATAATGAAGTGATGTTTCCTTGGATAAAATTTTACTCTCAGGTCTACAGTGTAAATGCCAGTTTGAATCTTCTTTTCTGCTTGCTACTCTAGGGAAAAAATACCTATATATTTAAATAACAAAAATAGTAGCCTTTTTATTATGTAAGTTTATATTCCAAATAATTGTAGTAGACAGTCAATTTGCATATATCCCCACTGAAATTTGCAGATAGGTAACTGAAAACATCTAGTCAGCAAATATATATAATATCTATGTCTATAACATCAAATATCTCTAAAACAGAAGACCAAACAAGAATAGGTATACAACAAAGAAAGAAGAACCACATGCATAGTAGCAGCTCATTGAAGAATGTCATTTCATGACATTGGTCTTGGCAATAATTTCATGGATATGACACCAAAAGCACAGGCAACAAAAACCAAAACTGTGGGACTATATCAGACTGAAAAGCTTCTGCACAGCAAAGGATACAATCCACAGAGTGAAAAGGCAACCTACAGAATGGGAGAAAATATTTGAAAACCATATATCTGATGAGGGGTTAATTTCAAACATATATAAGGAACTCATACAACTCAATAAAAAAAACTAATACCTCGATTTAAGAAAATGGGCTAAAGACTTGAATAGACATCTCTCCAAGTAAGATAGGCAAATGGGCAACAGTTATATGAAAAAAATGCTCATTGACACTAATCATCAGAGAAATGCAAATCGAAACTACAAGGTATCACCTCACACTTGTTAGGACGGCCATTATAAAAAGAAAATTATTCAAACCAGAAAATAACACATATTGGCAGGATGTGGAGAAATTGGAACACTTGCCACTATTGGTAGTAATGCAAGATGGTGCAGCTGCTGTGGAAAACAGTATGGATATCCCTCAAAAAAATTTAAAAAGGAACTACCACATTATCCAGCAATCCCAATTCTGGGTCTATATCCAAAGGAACTCAAATCAGTATCTTGAAGAGATATTAGCATTCCTTTGTTCATTGCAGCATTATTCACAATAGCTAAGATATAAAACAACCTAAATGTCCATTGATAGATGAATGGATAAAGAAAATGTGGTACAGTCCTTCCACAGGGGATTGGTTCCAGAACTCCACACAGATATCAAAATCTTCCAATGTTCAAGTCCCTTATATAAATGTTGTAGTACAATTGGTCCTCCATATCCATGGGTTCCACATTCCCCAGATTCAACCAACCTGTATTGGATGATTGAATCTGCAGACATGGAACCCACGGATAAGGAGGGGTGACTGTATATACATACAATAGAGTACAGTTCAACCTTAAAAGAGAAGGGAATTCTGCAATATGCCACAACATGGATGGACGTTGAGGACATTATGTGATGAGAAACAAGCCAGACACAGAAAGATAAATACTGCATGATTTCACTTATGTGAGGTATATAAAATAGTCAAATTCATAAAAATCAAAGACTGCAATGGTACTTACCAGAGGGTGGGAACGGGGAGAATGGGCAATTTATTAATCAACAGGCATAAAGTTTCAATTAAGTAAGGTAAATAAGCTTTAAAGACCTGCTGTATGACACGGTACCTATAGTCAACAATAATGTATTGTACACTTAAAATCTGTTAAGAGGGTTAGGCCCATCAGATGGTCAACAAACACGTGAAAAGCTGCTCAATGTCACTAATTATTAGAGAAATGCAAATCAAAACTACAATGAGATATCACCTCACACCAGTTAGAATGGGCATCATCAGAAAATCTACCAACAACAAATGCTGGAGAGGGTGTGGAGAAAAGGGAACCCTCTTGCACTGTTGGTGGGAATGTAAATTGATACAGCCGCTATGGAGAACAGTATGGAGGTTCCTTAAAAATCTAAAAAGAGAATTACTATATGACCCAGCAATCCCACTACTGGACATATACCCAGAGAAAACCATAATTACAAAAGACACATGCACCCCAATGTTCATTGCAGCAGTATTTACAATAGCCAGGTCATTTAAGCAACCTAAATGCCCATTGACAGACGAATGGATAAAGAAGATGTGGTACATGTATACAATGGAAATATTACTCAGCCATTAAAAGAAATGTAACTGGGTCATTTGTAGAGATGTGGATGGACCTAGATACTGTCATACAGTGAAGTAAGTCAGAAAGAGAAAAACAAATATCGCATATTAATGCATATATGCGGAATCTAGAAAAATGGTACAGATGAACTAGTTTGCAAGGCAGAAATAGAGACACAGATGTAGAGAACAAACATATGGACACAAAGGGGGGGAAAGCGGGGGTGTTGTGGTGGTGGTGGGATGAATTGGGAGATTGGGATTGACATATATACACTAATATGTATAAAATAGATAACTAATAAGAACCTGCTGTATAAAAATAAAATTCAAAAAATATATATATAATGTCTAGATCTTGTTTGGACCCTGTTTAAAACAAACCTACCATGGAAAGATATATTTGACAGAGTCAAGAAAATTTGAGTATAGATGGTATTAGATGATATTAAGGAATTTAAATAATTTTCTTGGGTTAATTTATCAATGTTGGTAGGTGTTATGATGACACAGAGATTGTGAAAATTTTAAACACTCTTTAAATGTCTTATGCAAATTTTAAACATAAGAATTTTAAACATTCTTATCAGCTAAAGATGTATATTTAAATATTTTCAGGTAAAATAACATAATACTGGGATCTATTTTATACCTCTCTTAAAAATCAAATAAAAAAGACAAGTGGGGGATCAAAGAATCAAAATTCAAAAGTAGTGATGATTGTTGAAGGTATGTGATGGGTACATGGTGATTAATTATACTGTTCTCTTTACTCTTGTGCATATTAAAAATTTTCCATAATAAAATATTTTAAAAATACTGAACATGAATACAGATTCAGAGATGGATTTAACTAAAGCATAACAGATGTGAACAGTGTTCAAGAGATGCTAAAGGGCAGCAAATCAAAGATGCCTCTTTTAAATGCTTCCATGTGATTCAGTATTTTCTCTGTCGTAGCAATTTTTCTCTATATAGTACTTGCCTACTTAAATGGTAGTTTCCATACACTATGTGCTGGTTATTCTCCATTTGTCTCTATAGATTGATTGATTCTTTATCCCTTTCCACCTTATTCTACATTCCAGAAAAATTGGCTTGGTTGGGATCCCTTGCCCTCTGGCTTCCAGCTTGTTCTAGCCAAAGGAACATACTGTCAAGCTGTCTGAGGGTGGAAGGAGAGAGGTCAAAGTATTCATTCCTCTCCTTCCCTCCCTTCTGTGCTGCAGGTGCTCCAGGTTGCATTTCTTTATTTGTAAAAGCTCCTGTGTTCAACACTCTCTAAGACATAGAGCTTGCACTCTGGGTTCCAAGAAGCATTGCCTCCCCTTGTCCCTTCAGGATAAGGGATAGTTGTGACTTTAAAATCTTGCTAACCCAGGTATGCTTTCCCATAGTTTGTTGTCCTGGACCCTGCCCATATTTTTGTATCTTTGTTCAGCATAATCTTTTCAATTGCCCCTTTTGAGTGTGCCAACTGTTTCTTGTTAGGACCTTGGATAATATGAGCTTCATTGGAGCTTGGAAATTGTCTCTTTCTTTTGTTCATTATGATTGTGATACCTGTAATACATGACTGTCTGGCATCTAGTAGACATAAAATAAATATTAGTTAAAGGAAAATAAAAATAGAAGAAATGAATAAAATTCAACATTATTTTCTGATTTGAAAAACATAAATTAAGGAATAAATACATGCATAATATGTTTTTTAATAAATTTATTCATTTATTTGTTTTTATTTTTGGCTGTATTGGGTCTTCATTGCCATGCACAGCCTTTCTCTAGTTGCGACGAGTGGGGGCTATTCTTCATTGTGGTGCATGGGCTTCTCATTATCTTGGCTTCTCTTGTTGCGGAGCACGGACTCTAGGCACACGGGCTTCAGTAGTTGTGGCTCACAGGCTCTAGAGTGTGGGCTCAGTAGTTGTGGTGCACAGGCTTATTTGCTCTGTGGCATGTGGGATCTTCCTGGGCCAGGGATCGAACCCGTGTCCCCCGCATTGACAGGCAGACTCTTAACCATTGGAAGCCTTCATATGTTTTTCTTTTTCTTTTTTTTTTTTTCGTGATACACGGGCCTCTCACTGTTGTGGCCTCTCCCATTGCAGAGCACAGGCTCCGGACACGCAGGCTCAGAGGCCATGGCTCATGGGCCCAGCCGCTCCGCGGCATGTGGGATCCTCCCGGACCGAGACACGAACCTGTGTCCCCTGCATCGGCAGGTGGACTTTCAACCACTGTGCCACCAGGGAAGCCCCCTTCATATGTTATTTTTAAAAGGATCCATCCATTAGCTTCTTGCAGAAAGTAAAAAATTAGGCATATTTGCACTGAAAATGTCATGAATAAGATAATAATAATTGATATTAAAATTGAAAAGGGAAGCTAATGTTTCATTATTTAAACTCATACCCTAATAAAATTCTAGTAAAACAATGCCATCTCTCCTTAAATAAATCTGCAATGGAATTCCATTTTATAATTTGACAAAATGATCCTAAATTTCATGTTGAATAATAATCATATGAAATTAGGCAACAGGTTCTAAAATAATAAGTGGTAAGGAATTTGCTTTGCTAAACAATAAAATATAGGTAAAC